GGTGAAGGATCAAATATTCATGGTGTAAACTTGTTCCAGTCGGCCGTGTCAGGGTGTCAATATGTCTACCAGAGTACTAACCTCCAATACACCCACTAGATATTCATGGTAATGGACCCCAGGTGAGGAGGAGACTGGTCGGTGTGTCTGGTCATTGATAAGGCTGACAGCTGGTCATTGTGGCGGTCTGCTATAGTGCCTATACTGCCTGATGTGTGTACTATACAGCATAATCACCATATGTCAGAGAGTCCTATGACCATATTCATGAACCGTTCTGATTCTTGTAACTCAACCTCTCTGATTAAATCATGTCAAATGATCAAAAAGTCAACTGTAAACATTGAAAATAGTATTTGGTTAATAAGTTTCTTCATTTTTTTTTCTCCAAATGATTTCCTGATATTTTTTTTATTAATTCATAACCAGAACAAGTAATTTGTCTATTAGGCTTGACCAAAAATCTGTGACAGAGCTTGAGAACGATTTCAGGAATACGGGCCCTGAATACAGGTCTATACAACGACTTTTCTGGGTATTTTAGGAATTGCTATCAAGTCAAAATTGAAAAAAATAGTGGAATTTGGAATGGTTGCATAGATCTAATATGTAAATATCTAGCAATGTAACTTTCTGAAATAATAGAAAAATAAATACATTCCTTTCAAGAAGTTTCTTCTTAACATAACCCTAATTGTTTTGTCTGGCCTTATCGCCAACGACAACATAAATGACAATTTTGATTCGACACATCTGGAACAATTTACATATAATGACAATCATAGTGGAGAATGTGACAAACAAAATATCTGTAATATCTGTAGATGATTAAATTCATAAAATCTGGTTGATAATTACAATAATGACACACCAAGAAAATAAAAATACCTGTATTATATCATTGGTTTTCACACCTACAGGTAATACCTGAAATTACGACAAGCCCTTGTCTAATGACGGAAGTATTGAGTCTCTACGAACATCAAATATGCATTGTAAACTCATCCGACGGAGACCGTCATTACGTCCGCCCAGAGGATTTTTGCCTCCCAGGTACGCTAATAATTGATGCTTCTAATCGATCCCCACAGTTTCCACCTGTTAATCCTGTCATAGCTCTACTTAATTCTGACAGGTGAGGTTAATTGTACCTGTCCACGTTAAATCTCGTAATCAATTCAAATATTTTGATAATACTTTTTTAATTATTCTACAGAAAGTTTATATAAAAGCATATTTTTTACATATTTTACAAATGCAAAATACATATTTCACGAAAACCATACAAGACAACATATAATGAGTCATCTCCCCTTGGTACTGATTCAATTCTCAAATATTTCACTTTTTTCCCCAAAAATAAATCTCCATTTTAACCTCATGTGTCATATCACGTGTTCTGCAATTAAAATCATTCCTTCAGGGCTTTTCGTTCCTGTATAACAAAACTTAATTTTCATAAATTACTAGCCTTTTCTTATGGAAATATATAACATAAATTACTAGCCTTTTCTTATGGAAATATATAACAAACAGCTTTGCAATATTTAAATGCTTACTTAAAGCAGTCTAAATTCATGTTGAGCTTAAGTTTAATGTTTATATACTCAACTGCTTGAAATATGTTTCATAAAAAAGAACCATCTGATTTCACACGAACAACAGTCTTAGAATTTAAAAGTCTATAGCTATAGATTTATCGTTAAAAAAACACAGAATTATAACACCATAACACTAGCACGGATCTATCTTCTCCGTAAATCTCGCCCAAACCCTAAAGTTAGAATGCCTCACTAGTGCATGGTCTTTAATGTTCAAAATCAATATTTACAAACGCACACAAGTGAAATACATGCGCAAGCTATTGCACCGTCTATAGTAGTTTGATCCAGTCGTTTGATATGCAACAGAGCTCAAACACTTCCAGGCTTTGAGTACAATTTTAAAGCAAAGACGTTTTTATGTTTTCTAGTTAAAATTCCAATGGCTGCCGATTTGAATCCTTTCGTGCCGGTTCCGCTGCTGTCCTATACTGTAGCAGCAGACAGAAGTCTACGATATACAATGTACATCTGTGATTGCTATTCATGTCCAATTTCTTGATTCTCGCAATCACTTGATGCTGTATACACATGCGTAGCCTAGGGCTACATGGAATATGTATACCACTATTTTAATTTATAGTTAATTAGCAGGGAAAAAAATACTTTAAAGACCCACTGGTCAGTCAGACTAGGGTCCAACTCAAGGACTAGAAATTAATTTTAAGACCCACAGGTCAGTCAGACTATGGTCCAACTCAAGGGCTAGAAATTACTTTTAAGAACCAGTCTAGTTGTTTCTGATTTAACTAATCCATGTGAAAATTCCAAACACCCAATATTATTCAACATGTTAGATAAAATCAATTTTAAACTAGTCAACTATATGCTATTTTATTTTTGAGTCCATCTTGAGATTTCTCTAGTCTTACACTATCGAGCTTGTACTTTTTGATGAGCCCTGGGCCCTTTATTCATGACACCATTCTCATGCTCAAGCATGGATTTTGTGCTCAAGCCTAATTTCTTCTTCTGGCTATAAATTATTTTAAAATCTTATTTTATCAATGATTGGGGGGAAAAATTGAAGAGACTTAGAGCTAGATACTGTTTTCAATGATTACAATCGACTTTTTGATTGTTTGACATGATTTAAGTGAGCAACAAGAAAGCGGGTTTGAGCACAGAATTCATACTTGAGCATGAGAACGGTTTCATGAATACAGGCCCTGAACTTGCATTCATACTATAATGAACTTTAAAAATGTCATTCCATCCGAATGTAAAGAGAAATTCAGCAACTTTTGGCAGGGGCGGCTTTTAACCAACTCTTGACATTTATCCCAATATCAGAAGCCAAATAAATTTCATGGAGTTAAAACCAATGCCAAATATACTGTACATGTTTTTTAAAACCTAAAAGGCAATTTAAAGCTCATTCTGAGGAGACAAATGCATGCACCGCTATGTACTCTCAGGGGATCTTTTGTTTTTGAAAATATAATATTGCAGTTCGGGTTTTGTGCTTTTCTTGCGGGTCTCTTACACATTTTGAAAATCTTTGAATATTTCTCAGAAATGAGACTTCATTCCAGTATACTTATTACATTTCAAAAATCTGTTTCCCAAACGTCACTGAGATGAATAATTCATTTTTCTACTTTTCAAATATAAATCATATTAAAAGTCTGTCTTTTTTCCTTTTTTTCCATAAGTCTCTAGTAGACATATAAAGCAATACTTTATAAGACTTTTGTATCAAATGTTTTGAGGGAATCAAGCAATGTTTTTATCTAATGTATGAAATTGGATAATGTTTATCTACAAGAACCCGATACAAATATATAAATAGATCTAGATCTTCTACAAAGTTCAAATAAGCTTACTCTAACTGTTATCTCAATCATTCAAATTTCAAAGCTTTGCAAATTCTGCAGTGTATCTGTGCACATACATATTTTGAGGAAATCAGATTTTACCATTGACATCAATGCTTGATAACTATTTGTAGATGATATTCCATACTCCAATCTTACAAGCAATGCCTTAGTACTAGTATAAAACCATCATTAACTCATTCACCCCTGAAATTGCATAATGAACTATTCCAACCTTTGAATTAGGAGAGTTCAAATGTGTCTTCAGGGGTGAATGAGTTAATATCATATTTTTGTATACATACTCTTCAATATCAATTAGTAGTTGTTGAAAATTGTTAGTGATGATTTTACCTATTTTCGACAGGGGTCTGTACATGTGCCTTGTGACTCAAATTTGGAACATAAATGATATTGCATACAAATTTGGGGAAAAAAAAGTAGATTTTTGCAAATGTTCTTGGGAAAATTTATTTAAAATATATCCAGGGAAACAGGCTTTATTGAGGCACCAAATTAACTTTAATCACTTTGTTGTTTTGATATAATGATAATAAATGTTGTGATATATGTCCACTAACAAGCCATAAACTGACAGTTTTATAATTGGCCATAATGAAAACATCTTTTAACAAGCATATATCCACACTTGTGCATCACTCAACTGAACATGACAAGCCATGAGAGTTTGAAGCAGAATCAGTAACAATTGCAGTTAAAAAGTTTCTTGATTTACCACCATTTTTACATGTAAACTGTTACTTCAATTTCTAGAAATTACTTGAAATTCTAATGAAGATTTTTTCCCAAATGAATTTCTGTTTTGACAGTGACCAGTTTATATTCAAAATCCTAAGCATTGAAAGACACAAGGATTTTAATAGTCTAATGTTAATTGCAAAATTAAATTAAAATTGGCAATGTCAAAACAATGTATACATTTCTTACCTTGAATTGCTACAATTGTATACTGCAACTTCTAATACATTGTTTACATCATGTAATACAATGTATACCCTGTACATTGTATCACTACATACAATGCATGTATATATGTATTACAATGTTGTAAAGCATCTGAAATAAATTTAACATTTATGTTCTAAAAGATAACTGTCTCACCTCATTTAGAAATAAACTATTTTTTAAACAGATTCATCATTACAAGGTTGACTGCGCTCGTGGTATGGTGAAGGGATAAGATATCGCGATCGGACAAAACAGAACATTTCAACAAACGCTGAAAGTTCTGCTAATATCCCCAAGAAAGATATTTAGGTAAATATCCCCTTTAGCTGATAGTCCTGTGTCTAGGTACACGTTCCATGGGATTGAACACTCTAATCGGGGGCCTAAATCTTGATAACGGCAAAGTTTACTCTCAAAAATTAAACGTGATCCGTTGTGTATTTCACGTCTTCATTGTGTATTCCGACACTTTCCGACGTTATCGTCTGAAAACGTCGATGACAGACCAAATAAATATGTTTATAGAGATAGGATAACGTCGATTCACCTGTCAAATATTGTTATTTCACTGTGTAAAAAGTTTTAAAAAGTTGTACCCCCCGTATCGTCTTACCTTTCACTGAAGTTACCACTAGTAAACACAGAAGACTGACGAAGCCTTGTATCATCTCCGGTCGGCTCTCCCTCGCCCCGGGGGCCATGGTTGGCCCTAAAATCCAAATACACAAATAAAATCGATTCTACAGGATCTCACGTTATATAATAATCCATCCTAATGTCGAGAAATCATGTTAAAAACAACCGAACGGAGCCATCGGATCCCTAACCGTGCGCCATGATTCTCTACGTACAATGGAGGCTAGTGACTCCAAGACGAGGTCACCCAAATATGGATTCCCGCTCATTTGCATAATAAACACCCGATAGATGGCGCTTCTTACCGGAAGTGCAAGTCTGTTTTAGATCAAAGCGAAAACGCAGGTATTATTCTTCTTCAGGAATGAAAGTAAGCGTGACTTACGAGGAATGCTATTCGTTGCAGACGATTTGTAGTGTTGTTACGCTGAGCTGAGCATGAATAGAAACATTAGCACGGGGCAATAAATACTAAAACCGCCATACCGTTCACAGTTCTGATGTTATTATGCAAAGTATATAAACCTGGAGATAAGATCGGTAAATTGTGGAAATAAAAGTCATACCTTTCAGGGTGTATATGTTATTTAACTTTTTAACTCAATAAATGTTTGCCTTTATAGTTTATGTTGTTGTATGTATTGGTGGAAACATGGACCAACAACATGTAATGACAGACCAAGATAGAGGCTTTTGAGGGACTCGGGGATGTTTCACCGCCCGGGAGTTGTCTTTTACAACCCTACTACTAAATCGGTAACTTACGAAGATATAGTTTTAGACTAGTATTTGTTAAGGAACCTCCATTGCCAATCACATCTCATGCATTTTCATTTTGAGATCTAACATATCATTTTTTATCCTTGGAAGAAAGTTGCACCAGAGACGTATATATTACAACCATTTTGTTGGACGCTTCAAATGACACCTCTTAATTTTTGAGAGATATTTTTATTATAAAAAGCGTATACCAATTGAAATCACTGACGATAACTTGTTGAAAAAACCATGGAAGATGTTCTAGTATTTGGTTAACAGAAATATACATTTTGTAAAAATACAAGATACAAATAACATGAATTATTAGCTTTGAAGAGCTATTCTTACGACAGAAAATATCACAGTCCGCATAGATGTAACAAAACACGTAATAAGGAAAAAAAAGCACATCAAAATTGAAACTTTAACAGTATACCAGCGTATTTAGCTTATAGGGTTTAGCGTCCTTTTACTGAACAGCTAAAGTACTTTAAGAACATGCCTATATATATGTAATAAAACCATTTCATAATCTCTGTAGCAAAATGTCATGGTTAAATAATTATCGAAGAAATCTAACAATCAAATGTTTAATTGACTATACGTCAGGACGATTTAATGATAAAAATGTGATAGTGATTTTATTTTGAAGCTGATAATGAAGGTTAAATGTTTTATAGCTTTTTTATGAAGTTATTATTTCATGTCGCGTTATTTTAACCGCTGTTTGTTATAATAAGGCATTCATGCATTCATTAATAATTTATCTAGTATTTTTATGTTCTAACTGATATGCAAATCAATTAGTTCTATTCGGAGTATAAATAGTTTTTATAAAGTCTGTCACTCATGTCAATTTTAATAAAGGTCATTAAAAAAGTTGACGAAAAAACACATACATTGGATAAATATCACTATACACACAACCAATATTGTTTGTGTATTTTACAAACTGGTGAATCTCTCATTGAAGATATAAATTGGATCGATGAACAACTTTTTTTTTTTTTTACATGTAATTGATTAATGCAAATCGAGAATTTGTATGCGGGGTTATATAGCCTTTTTATGAAATGTGTATTTCGTGTCAGCTTATCTAAAATGGTGGATAAATATGCATTAGTTACATTAATGAACTACTGTTTTTTATTCGAATTGATATATGCAAATTCAGAAATATGATTGGGATTACATAGTTCTTTTATGAAGTATACATTTCATGTCAATATCCATCATTTTCATACGAGACTGGTGATACTCACGCGCTGCAGTAAAATGATACATTGATAATCTCGATCATCAAGACGCTTATGTCCTATCCAACAGGAGAACAAGCATCTGATGATCAAGACCAATATATCATTATTCGCCCTCTGTTTCAGCAGTAGTGTAGGCAATTTTGATTTCCAAGTTTTTGCCCCCTACTATCACCGATGAGTCTTAGAAGGACGCAGCAACTGTGTGATTTAATGTAATTAAGTTTTGGTGCAATCACTTGTATGTGTGGTACGGCCATCTTTTTCACAACTTTGATGACAATCACTTCCAAAATGCAACGTATGTTGGTGTATATGCCTCCTGCCGAAGCCCCCC